AAAAGCATCCAAGCCACGCATGACAGTGGATTTGCATTATTATTTTTTTCATATGCTTATTTAAAAAGCTGTATTTTAAACTTCAACATTGCAGCATCAAAACAAACATAATATATTTATCTGCAACTTATCTAAAGTCATATGGATTTATTTATCAAAGATGAACTGCGCAATCCACAAACAATTTACCCAAAGATTTGACGGGATTCACCCTTTAAATTCTACCTCCATTTTCTCTATTTATTATGCAGATGATGGACAAATCTTGTTAAAGAACATGTTACCAAGTAAATGTCACTCAAATATCTAAAGTACACTAGTGGTTATTTTCATATTTCTGATCAAATCTTTGGGTAAAACTTGCTAAATAATCACAGCCTTTTATTGATGTCCCTGCAGCTACTGTCCATGGTGCTGAAAATTTGTATAAATATAGTTTCAGCACCATGGAGAGCAACTGCAGATAGAATTTTTAAACAAAGTGTGCCCTCTCTCTAAATGAACTAGCAATTCCAGGCATGAGTTCTGGTATCCCTGTAGCTCTGAAGTGGTTAGTTTGCAACCACCCGATTTTTTAATACCAGCTTACATGCCCATTAGGCACCTAGCTCTTTGACACCCTAAGTGCCCAAGAGAGGGTGCCAGCAATAGGGATTCATGTACTCATTCCCTGACCCCTCATGATGGGCAAGTAGGTGGTCACTGCCTCCCTGGTGAACTGGTTTAAGGTGTTCCTCAAACTTAGTTCTAGTATGGATGATTAGGTCAAGAACTCTATCCCTAGGAAAGTAAACTATGCTTTATTTCACCTACCAACACTGGATTCACCATTGGACATCTTTGGACTTCATCAGAACGTGGAAAATATATATTTTTAAAAAGCAAATATCAAAATAATGTTGATGATGTGGGTCATTTATGTTTACTTACCTGCATGCAGTGAACTAATTAGGGGTCTGAGGGACCAAAAAATATGTGTGTGTAACTCCCAAGCCACTAAAATAATTTCTCTGGATCGCTAACATTAATCACATACTCAAACTGTGTTAAAAAAAATATAACTAAAAAATGTTGCGCTCCCAATCTCCAACAAAACTAATAAATTAGTGACTTCAAATTATATATCCATAAAAAACAAACAATATACCATAAATAAATAAATAAATATCAAGTTAAATGTGATGTGAATCAATAAAAATCAAAGAAAAAAACAGTCCCGTTATTCAAATAATAGTCCAAAAAAAAAAAAGGGATTTGTGATGACGTGATCCAAACACACCAATTGTGACTTTTCGTGAATCCTTAAATCATTAAAGATGTACGCACACCTCCTTACAAGTCTAACAGATAGGCTTAATACACTTTTTGTTCACATACATGGAACCTGCTAGAATTTGCTGCAGCGTGGAATGGATGTTGGATACCTCCTATGTACTCCACAATGCTTCTCTCCTTATGCACTCATTATCCCTGCAGGGATATTATTAACACACTGTGGTCAGACCAAAGCACTGTTACCATAGTAACACTGTACTACTCTGGGGAACTGATCAGGATTTTTTTAATTTTTTTTTTACGCATTATAATTGCTTAATAAAATGGGTATAAGCAACCATTTTTACTGAATGTAACTGATTCATTCAGTGTCTTTTGTTGTGATTAGCTGTTATTGGCCAAAGCTAATCACATGATACAGATGAGCTGTGATTGGCCCTGCTTCTACCATGTGATCACTGTGATCAATCACAGCTAGCAACACAACTGTATACAATGGATGGCATGAAAGGAAGACATCCATTGTTTTCAATTGTCATGTGATCTGCTGTGATTGGTCACAGTGATCACATGACACTGGCAATGGGCCAGTGTATTGATCAGTCATCAGATGTGTTCTGTGGACACAGCTGGTGACAGATTGTGCCGCTGCATGGCCCCTTCTGAGAGGATATCATAAGACATCCAGTAAGAAAGAGAAAAGTCCCACTCAACCAACAATCTGCTATAGGCTGGGCGGGAAGTGTTGAATAAAAGTGTTTTGCTGTATCTGATTGGTATGTTAAAAAAATACCTGTTTATCCTGCCCAAAAGTTTGCTAGCTATTGAATTCTTATGAAAGCCACCTGTGCTGACTTTTATCAATTACTTTACTTTATGAGAACTATGGAACCACATTCCTTTATGTAATATACAATAGGAGAGAGGCAGAATTCTATAGTCCTGTATTGTTTCTGTTGTCCTCGTACAGAAGGATGTTATCCTAGGACTGAAATGTGTTACTGGCAGAATCACCAGGTGAAAAAAAGTTTAAAAAAGAAAATTAGCTGATCCAACCCATCTAAGGAGTGGTACGCTGCCATATATTATTAAGGTTAAGTCAATTTTTGGCAGACCTTTTTCATAAAAGTGATGATGCAGACATGGAATTCCAGGAGATAACAAAATAACTCCTCAGCTTTAGAAAATGTTGATTGTTAGAAGTTCAATACCTGTAGGCGATTGTTTTTTTGTTTTTTTTGCTTTTGACTTTATATACTCTATAAATAGAGTGAACACTCTATGAGACTGCAGATTCCGTGCCGTACTCTACATTTTATGAATCACTGCTAAAATGCAGGCACAGTGTAGAATTATCACTGCGATTTCCAGGCAAGAGGAGATAGCAATATCCACTCTTTGATATTATTGGGTATTACGTTTTAATCACTGACTTCCCAGATATAGCCCTCCAGGAATGCCCAGCCAATTTTTTTATCTTCCCTTCTTTCATCACATATTATAAAAAAAATACAGTAAGGTAATAGCGGAAAAGGCAGACTGCTGCCCTCTATTAATTTATCACCCAAGGCTTGGGCCTTTGTGGCCTTTTCAGAACTCCTAGCTTGTCTGCTCAATGTCAAGTAATAAACTCGGCACAAGAAAATGTGACTTTTGTTCAATCCAGTGACTTTTTAACTTCAAAAGAACTGCAAGGTCAGCTTGCCATAATTGAAAATTAAACAAATTAAATATTTTATTATTTAATATTCAGTGTTTATAAGTGTTAAATAGCTTTTAAACATCTATCATGTGGTGAATTGCACTCCAATATGCAGTAGAAATGATGAGATGCTCTCAGGACAGATGGAAGAAGCACATTAGTTACTGTGAAGCAACAGAAGCACATTGCCATAACGCACCCTTTGGGATTTTCTATACAACCCTCTCTGTAAATACTGTTCAGACCTTTCAGGGTGTAGCTCTGCTGATAAACATTTTATATATAAGCTCCATCTTTGTCAAGACACAGTGCTGATTTTAATTTAAAGCTGTTGAGTATGCAGACATAATAAAATGTATGATTTACTTCATAACCTTCAAGATATACTTTAGATTGTAGTCTATAGATATTGTTTGAAAAATACAAAATTAACCTTCACACAAAAAGCTAAATAAATAGTTAAATTGCATTAGGGATGCATCGATATCATTTTTTTTTATCAGCGGCTACGAGTACCGAAACTGTCGGTCAAGTACTCGCCGATACCGATACTTTGTGGTGCGATTTGCGTTAATGGACGCAAATTGCACCGCAAAGAATAGCATGCGATTTGCAGTTTCCCTGCTGCTCCTGTGTGAACCCAGGCTTGTCATAGCCTGAGTTCACACAGAGGAGGTGCGGAAAACCTTCCTGCAGGCATCCTATGCTGAGTGTCAATGGTAGGAGAGGAGAGAAAGCGGTGGGGACTTGAAATCCCTGCCGCTTTCTTTTCCTTCCTTGCTGCAATGACAGTTCTGGCTAGACTGCATCTGACTGGACGGTGCTGACCAATCAGATGTCTTCTATCCTGAACTGTCATCCTTGCACACCTAGGCATTTACAGGCATTTACAGACAGGAGAATTTAGTGGCACAAAAAAATATCACTTGAGCGTTCGGGAGAGGAACATTTTGGCAGAAAAAACTCCTGACACCTAAACAAGCCTAAACACACCTAAACGCTAAGCACATTTAGAGCTTGAGAGTTAATTTATTTAAATGGTCAGAATATATTGATATTCTGGCCAATAGAATCAATGAACTCCTAAATGCTTGATGTGAATAAATGCACCTAAAAGCTGGACACCTTTGCTATCCTGTGTGATTGAGGCCTAATTTTTTTTAATATTACATTAACATACTATAAGTTATAATGGATTTTAGTGATTGTGTGTGTGTGCATATACCTTAAAAGTTTACTTCTAATTGTTTTCCATTAGTTACTATAGTTATCACATTTCCGCTGCTTTTTGGAGTACCTTACAGAATTCTCTCAATTTTCTTATTTACGAGCATGAAGTGAAAAATGCATTAGATGGGAAGGTGGTAGATAAAAAAAAACACAAAAGGGAAAAGATAAAACCCCTGTGTAACGGAAGCGCAGGCAGGACAGAGCAAACGGAGAAGATGGGGAACACACAAAGGTTTATTGAAGCAACAAAAGGACAGAGGACAGACACTCAATGGGGAAATGGCAGGGAGGGTGATGTGTGCGCAAACCAGGGACGATTCCAGGCACGGGGGGTCTTCAGGGACAGGCAGACAATCTACCCCCTAGGCTTGGGGCCTCAGCCGAGCTCCCTCCATGACTGGACAGCAGATTGGAGACTCGGGCAACAGGCGGCAACCTACCACTGGGCAGGGACCTTGGGCAACAGGCGGCAATCTACCCCTGGGCAGGGGTCTCGGGCAACAGACGGCAATCTACCCCTGGGCAGGGGTCTCGGGCAACAGGTGGCAACCTACCACTGGGCAGGGGCCTCGGGCAACAGGTGGCAATCTACCCCTGGGCAGGGGTCTCGGGCAACAGGCGGCAACCTACCACTGGACAGGGGCCTCGGGCAACAGGTGGCAATCTACCCCTGGGCAGGGGCCTTGGGCTACAGGCGGCAACCTACCACTGGGCAGGGGCTTGGGCAACAGGCGGCAACCTACCACTGGGCAGGGGCCTCGGGCAACAGGCGGCAACCTACCACTGGGCAGGGGCCTCGGGCAACAGGCGGCAACCTACCTCTGGGCAAGGGCCTCGGGCAACAGGTGGCAACCTACCTCTGGGCAGGGGCCTCGGGCAACAGACGGCAATCTACCCCTGGGCAAGGGCTCGGGCAACAGGTGGCAACCTACCTCTGGGCAGGGGCCTCGGGGACTTAACCGGTAGCGATGGCTCAAGCACTCAGGGGCACCACAGGTAGCTATACTCCGGGCATGCCATCAGGACACGGGTGGTTAGTGCACACACAGGGGGGGCAGTTCAGGACACAGGTGGTCAGTGCGCACAACAGGGACAGTTCAGGACACGGGTGGTCAGTGCACACAGGGGGGACAGTTCAGGACACAGGTGGTCAGTGCACACAACAGGGACAGTTCAGGACACGGGTGGTCGGTGCACACAGCGGGGACAGTTCAGAACACGGGTGGTCGGTGCACACAGCGGGGACAGTTCAGAACACGGGTGGTCGGTGCACACAGGGGGGACAGTTCAGGACACAGGTGGTCAGTGCGCACAACAGGGACAGTTCAGGACACAGGTGGTCAGTGCACACAACAGGGACAGTTCAGGACACGGGTGGTCGGTGCACACAGCGGGGACAGTTCAGAACACGGGTGGTCGGTGCACACAGCGGGGACAGTTCAGGACACTCACGGTAAGCAGCTTGCAGACCCTCAGCAGCAGGCAGCTCCAGACAGGGACGACCAGTGGTCAGCGTTCCAGGGACAACCAGCGATCAGCAGACAGCAGCAGCTCCCAGGTCACTCAGCAGCAGACAGCTTCCAGGGACACACAGCCATGGACAGTGTGCAGGGTCCCTCAGCAGCAGACAGCCTCCAGGGACACGCAGCCAGGGATAGTGTGCAGGGTCCCTCAGCAGCAGCTCCCAGGGCACTCAGCAGCAGACAGCTTCCAGGGACACGCAGCCACGGACAGTGTGCAGGGTCCCTCAGCAGCAGCTCCCAGGGCACTCAGCAGCAGACAGCTTCCAGGGACACGCAGCCACAGATAGTGTGCAGGGTCCCTCAGCAGCAGCTCCCAGGGCACTCAGCAGCAGACAGGGTGCAAGGGTGCCCAGTAGACAGGCTTACAGACTGGCAGGGTCTCAGCTGTGGGGTCTGACCTTTGAGGAGAAGGCTCATACAGAGCTGTGGAGACTCCCAACCCTGGGGTATTGCAGAGGGCTACAGTGCGCAGGGGGGATGGCTGGGGAGGCTCGGTCCCCCTCACCCGAGCCTCCCAGCATCTTTCTGGGAGCAAGATGATTCCAGCAGCATGGACAGGAACAGAGAGAGGAGGGCTTCTTCCTGTGCGGGTCTTTTGAAGACCATGTGGGACGCGGCTAGGTTGCCTCGGCAACGGCCGGCCCAGCCCTGTCCATGGAAGCCCCACAGACCTCGGAATGTGCAAGGGGGAAGGGAGGGGTGGAGGGATATGGCGGGGGATGGGAGAGGCACTGGCAGTCCGTGACACCTTGTTAACTCTTTTTCTGCTGCAGATTTTCCTTTACTTTTTGCTGGTAAAAACATCATCACCAGCATAGAAAATCACAGAGAATCTCTGTAGCAAAACATTAAAGCCCCAACAAGTGTTTTAATCCTTCCACACTCTATCCAAAGCTAAAAAGAAAACATTTGCCTTAACACACACTTTGAAAATATGAAGGAAACTGACTGAAATGCACTATAAAGTCCAAAAATGGAAAGGCGGGAAGGTACTTGTGTAAATATATGCAGATAAAGTTTTTCAGCTTTGTATATCAGGCTGGAAACGCATGTTACAACACGAAAAAAAAGAAATACTAAGCTGCACTGCCAAACTACTGTAGTTAATACAATACAAGTTAATACAAGTCCATCTAGTTCAACCAAGAAAAGGGAAAACAATTATACAATCATATATACACAATCCTATACGAACAGTTGATCCCGCGCGGAAGGCAAAAAACCTCAATAAAGCATGATGCAATTTGTTCCAGCAGGGGAAAGAATTCCTTTCTGATACCCCAAGAGGCAAATGGATCTTCCTTGGATCAATTTTACCTATAAATATTAGTATCCAGTTTATAGTGTGTATATTTAGTAAAGAATCCAGGCTCTTGAGGGAGTCTATTCCACATTTTCACAGATCTTACTGTGAAGAAGCCTTTCTGTATTTGGAGATTACATCTTTTTTACTCCAAATGCAAAGAGTGCCCCCTTGTCCTCTGTGATAATCTAAAAGTGAATAACTCTATGCAAAGTTCACTACATGGACCACCTATGTAATTATACATGTTGATCATATCCCTCCTTAATCTCCTATTGTAAGGGAATTCCCGTGAGACGGCTGGTGAATAGGGAGTGGGGTCAGGGCTAGTGACACAAGTGAGGCCGACCTCGTCATTTCAGTCTCCAGTCAGGTACGTGACAGTACCAGTCAGCCAGTGATGGAGTCTGAAAGGGAGGCCTCTGCAATGGGGGACATCTGTCAATCAATCTCTGCCTTGTCTTACATGGTGCAGAGTTTGCAAAGAAACCTTGAGCACATGGAAAACCAACTACCAACCAAGTCAGATGTCTCAGCAGCCATGGGTCCCTCTGCAGTCTCAGACATAACTACCCAGACAGAGCTCAGCATGATTCATGGAACTTCTCCTCCACCTGAATCCCGGGTTCCAATACCTGAGTTTTTCACGGGAGACCGCAGAAGTTTTGAACCTTACGTAACTCCTGTGAGCTATATTTTTCTCTGCTACAAAGAACCTTTGCATCACAAAGCACCAGCGTGGGATTCATTATTTCACTCCTTCAGAATGAACCCCAATCCTGAGCACACACCACCATCATGAGCAACATGATTGGACTCTGACTTCTACGGCCTCTTTTTTCCCAGCGATGTCACAACTTTACGCTGATCCCTTCCGTCATCAGATTGCAGAATCTATGCTTAGCAAGCTACAGCAAGGCCAAAGGCCTATAGAGGAATATGTCACCGAGTTCCATATATGGAGTTCCGACACTCAATGGAACGAGTCTGCTCTCCGCCATCAGTTTCGCCTTGGTCTCTCTAACATCTTGAAAGATGAGCTTGCCTGAGTTGGGGTACCAACCAGGCTAGAGGACATGATAAAACCTAGTCATTCAAATCAACCGACGGCTCCGGGAAAGGCAGGGCAAAAGAACTAGCAGGGGTGTCTTGATATGCTCTGAAATAGAGACTCCTGTCCCTCACCCACTGCTGTCGAGCAAAAGGGGACTTCGTAATTCTCCTCGTAGGAGCTTTTGGAGACCACTGTTATCCTCTGCTGAACGTCTTCGACGACAAGACTCCAACCTCTGCCACTACTGTGGTGATGTGGGTCACTGTACTGTACTGACATGTCAAGTGAGACCTCCTAAGCCCTCTCCTAGCTGGTTCCATATGATGCACCCACAAAGAACAAGTCAAACGCACCTCTCCTTCCTTCTTCACTTGCAACTTGCTGGAAGAACTATTTCTGTTTTAGCAATTATAGACTCTGGTGCCTGTATTTGTTTAATGGATTCTACGTTTGCTAATCAATACAATATCCCTCTCTGTACGAAGAAACAAAGATTTTCAGTCCATCTGACTGATGGCTCTGGTATCAGTTCTGGCCCAGTGACGCAAGAGACTATGCCAATCTCCTGCCACTCATCCTCAGGACATCAGGAACTTCTACACCTGGATGTCATAACCTCACCAACGTTTCCGGTCATCCTCGGTATGCCCTGGCTAAAGGCACACAACCCATCCATTAACTGGCTCTGGGGAAAATCCTCTTTTCTTCCAAATACTGTCAGAACCATTGCATTCCAAAGGAACCATGTGCAGTGACTCCTCTTCTTAGCATCTATCCTGAAACTTGTCCCTGCTGTCTACCATGATTACTTAGATGTATTCAACAGAAAGAGTGCCAATGCTCTTCCCCCACACCGGCCCTACGATTGTCCTATTGAACTCCTACCCGATGCTGAGATCCCTTTTGGGTGAATTTACTCTCTCTCCATATTGGAAATAAAGGTCCCCCAGAATTACATAGATGAAAGCCTGGAAAAAGGGTTTATTCGGCTCTCTACATCACCAGCGGGAGCTGGCATCTTCTTTGTCGAAAAGAAAGATCATACTCTTAGACCATGTGTGGACTATTGTGATCTAAATAAGATAACAGTCAAGAACCGTTATCCTCTTCCTCTGATTCCTGAATTGTTCCAAAGGCTACGAGGGGCATGTGTCTTTTTCAAAACTAGATCTGAGAGGTGCAGACAATTTAGTCAGAATTTGAGAAGGGGATGAATGGGAAGACGGCCTTTTGAACACGCTTTGGGCACTTCGAATACCTGGTTATGCCATTTGGCCTTTGTAATGCCCCAGCAACATTCCCACATTTCGTTAATGATATATTCCGGAACTATCTTGATTTATTTATCATTGTCTATTTGGATGACATCCTAGTCTTCTCAAGCTCAATAGAACAACACCGGAACCATGTGAAGAAGATACTGGGTAGGTTACACCAACATCACCTCTATGCCAAAGCTGAAAAGTGCGAATTTGAGAAACAGATCATTCAGTTCCTTGGACTTGTGATTACTCCCGATGGCACTGCTATGGATCCTCAAAAAGAGACCTCTGTAGTGGCCCGTCCCAGGAGACAGGAAAGCGGTACAACGCTTCGTGGGATTTGCTAATTTCTATAGGAAATTCATTAAGAACTTTTCCGGTATCATTGCACCAGTCACGCAATTAACCAGGCAACATGTTGCCTCCCAAGGCTCAAGCAGCTTTTGAACAACTATAGACCTTATTCACCTCTGCTCCTATCCTGAAGCACCCAGATCCTGCTTTAGCTTATGTTCTCGAAGTAGATGCTTCTGAAAATACTATTGGAGCTATATTGTCTTAACGACAAGGACCCAAGTCCCTCCTTCACCCTGTTGCCTTCTTTTCTAGAAAGTTAAGCTCCCCTGAAAGGAACTATGACGTAGGAGACAGGGAGCTGTTAGCCATCAAGGCGGCCCTCGAGGAATGGCGCTACTTGCTGGAGGGAGCTTCACACCATATCCTCATTTTTTACGGATCACAAAACTCTGGAATACTTGAGAACTGCAAAACGCCTAAGGCCACGGCAGGCAAGATGGGCACTTTTCATTTCCCGCTTTGTGTTTCACTTGACATACCGTCCAGGATCAAAGAACGGCAAACCTGATGTGCTCTCACGCATGTATCATGACCCAATAGTACCATCTGAGCCTGACACGATCCTGCCAGCTAAAAACGTTTTACTCCTGCAAGAAGACCTTGTATCACAAATAAAGGAAGCGGTTGATGAGCATCCACCCCCCTTGGAAATGCATCTTCAGCTAAGGGACAGCCTGTATCTGCATAAAGAACAGATTTATATACCGGAACAACTCAGGACTCTCTCATTCTTAAAAGATTTCATGTACAACCTTTAGCGGGTCACTTCAGGATCCACAAGACCTCAAATTTGATCTTCCGTTCCTTCTGGTGGCCAAACTTAATGAAAGA